TTTTACATTATATGAATTAAATTAAATATATAAATAATTGAACGAATTATAAATACTCCAAAGTATTATAGAAAATTGTGATTTTAAATAAAGCAAATTATATTTTGAAACAAAGAATTTATAATAAATAAGAGAAAATGTTTAAATAACTTATAATTTATATAATAATGAGATTCTTTATTAAAGAGAATATTATGTCAATTAACAGTTTCTATCAGAAGAAAACCCAATTTGAAAGAACTAAACAAATACATGATTATTAACTGTAAATAACTTTCTTATTCGTCAGTGAAGTGGCAGTAAATGAATGGTTAGACTATAATCTGCTATCAATTTTAGGCTTCAATTGTATTGTACTTTTCGAAACAAATAAAGTTAGTACCGTATTCCGTCACTTTATAACCCATGGGGTGTTATGTGAGAAGCTAGGGTTTTTACCCTGCTATTTTTACTCAAAACGAGTCAAATATAAAAGTTTAATTAAAATGTAGTATTGTTTTAAAGTACTAATTCATTAATACAGATGACTAAAGATGTTTTAATTGAAATGTATAATTAATCAATGAATTTGATAAATAATTGTATTCATTGCTATTAAAATGAGATATCAAGCCATAGGGTTTTATGCGAGTTTCTTAGAGGGGGTGGGGTGTACTACCTAGATAACACCCCATGCTATTTTGAAGCCTATCCGAGTCAGGGACCCCTCAAATAACACCCCATGGGGTATAAAATGACAAAATACGGTAAAACCTCTTGTTTAAAACTATTAATTAACGCATTATTTACTTTAATAAGACACTTAAATTTTAAAAAAGATTAAATTATATAATATTTATAAGAAATGATAGGATTTATAAAATATAAATATTAATGTTACGATGGATTTGGCAATAATATGAAATATTATTGATTGTAAAATTTATAATAAAATGTTTAAATTACTCAATAATATAATCATTTTAGCTCTTCATTAGTTATATAAATACTATTTTGTTTGTCATTCTGTTCATCAAAAAAGATTCAATAAATTCTAAAACATAATTATTTTGTAAACTCTATTGATTTAGAGTAAAGGAAAGTGGATTTGATGTCAAATAATGTAATGTCTAGTATTGTTATTATAATTATAACCTTACATTAAATATAACAATTTATCAATAATATTATTAGTAAACAACATTAATAATTATTAAAATTGATAATAAAACCATTGTATTAATATGTTTATTGTTTGGGTTGAATGTGTTTTCAATAAAAATGTTAAATTCCAGTGAACTCTCATTAATTTGATTGAATAATATATCAAAACAATGCATTCTTATATAAATTCAATATTGATTCTTAAAATTATATTTATGTTTTCGATGTATTAGTACAGTATAACAGTATAACAATTATACACCAGGTATTCAATATTCTGCACATTATAATAAGGTATTCCTTATAAGTACAGCATTTCTACAGTAAAATTATTTCATATATTATTTTGTTATACAATCTTTTCAAAACATTTAATAAAAATTAAAAGTATTTAACATTCAATAATTAAATAGTTTGTTATAAATATTTCTCAATTCTTAATGTAATACAATGGCTACAAGTTATCGAAATATAATCCCAAATACAATGAGTTTTAAAAAACAGTGAGTTATGAGAAATGGAGGACAAAGAGAGACAGAATGAAAGTTGAATCATAGATGCGTTAAATGAATGAGTCCTAAGTTCTCATCACAAATGATAATTGCAAATAATATAAACATGTTTAAATAATGAAATTATTTGACTACTTAACCAATTTATAAAATGTTAAACATTAGAAGAAAGTTTAGTGTTTTGAACGACAGTTTGCAAGATTTCACGTACGGATGGGACTGTCCAGCAGTTGACTAGACTTTAATGATGTATTTGAAATACTAATCGAAGTATTGATTGTATTGATTGGCACTTGAGTGAAATCAAACACAAGTCTTTCGCATTCGCTTCTCGTTCTCGATGGCGAAGGAGGCGCTGAACTCACTCTATATTTGTCTCCTGAAGTCATCTCTTCATTGGATGTGATTCCAGAAGAGGACGACAAACGTGATAATAATGGAGACATGGGCTGAACAAATAGCTGTTGTCCGTCTCGCGAAGTATTATCAGGAGAGAAGACTTGTGTTTCAAACCCAAGCAATTGTCCCATGAAATTGAAATTTGGGGAAATTATTTTGCGCTTTGATTTGACGTATTCATACGCCTCTTCCATACGAATCCTTTTGGTTGCCATCAAATATGCCATACATATGGTCGCAGATCTGCTGATACCGGCGTGACAGTGGATCAGTACCTTTCCGTTCCCATTCCGGACTGAATCTGTGCAACAAATACATTACACATGTATTATACTATTCTTACTAATGCTTGTATTGTTATACAATATTTATACTTTTTGTTTATACCGTAATATAAAATTTGTATCATTTTTTATCTAAATGTTACTGAAATTAAAATATAATTACTTTCAATTGATTTTGTCATATTCTATGAATGTTAAATATTTTTAGCATAATTATTACGGAATACATTTTATAAACATAGTTGAAAGCTCAATACCGTAAAACTGACTTTTCCTGATTATCTATTTATCATGGATCAATTATATAAATGTCTAAAGTTCTATTAATTACTGTTAGTAGCTAATTCAAAATAATGTTAGTCTGTAAAACAAATTGTCATTATTTCTTAATAAATTAATGTTTTATTAAATTATAGAGAATAAGTTTAGAACCAAAATAGATAAAAGATTAAGAATTTGCAACAAATAATTAATATGATGTAAAATTGGTAAAAATGAGTGTTTCCCATAAGTGATCAAAACTGAATACGTAAATAAATATAACAAACATGAAACTATTATTTTGCTCGGTCTCGTTTTTAATTGAGTTTTTGCGGAAATTGTATGCTATATAGGAGTTTGTATTTGAAAATAGATGAGATGTTTGGATAGAAATATATGAATATTAGGTATTCTTGTGCTTCTCTCGAATATCCCAAACAGAATTTAATCAATGAAAAGATGGAAAGTGTTGTCATAACAACAAAACTCCAATTTAGGTCAACTCAACTCAATGCTCAGTTTGCTTTCCTTGACCTAAGACCTGATACTAAGCTTTTAAAAGCACTCTTTTATCACTATCTAAACTGTTGTCATATCAACACAACTAAAGCTACAATTTATTATCATTTAAATTCATTAGAAAATTTCTTCTTTAATTCAAATCTTTTATTTAAGGTATTATTTTCAAAATGACTAAAATATGCTTTCATTTTAAAATATCGAAATCTCATTAAATAAGGCATAAAGTAGACAATTGTAATTTAAAGCTTATTATTTCATGTTTCCGATATTAGTACAGTATTGTTTTCAAAACATTATCAATAAATCACTTCTAAAACTATAATTTACGAAAAAATTTAATTATCAATAATAAGTTATTATTATTAATAACTAATTTATATAATTCATTATAGAAATGAAATAATAAACTATATTTTCAAATGGTATAAAAGACTAAAACAGGATAATATAATTTATAAATCATTTTAAATTAAATTCCCAATTCATGGGTAAAGGAAGAGTGGAGGAGAGGCAGTCTCTGCCAGGCATCCCATCCCCGGCCGCAACAAATGTGGAGTCAATTGACAGCTGTGTTGGTCTACATGTGTGACTACATGACTACATACATGACTATTGCTCTGCGCTATCAATCGGATGGACAGGAAGTCCGACAACGGTTTTATCACATGTGCCGGAAGTCTGTTTTGTCGTTTAGTTTATTAAAACTACGATATGATTGTTGTTTGCATATCCATATGAAAATATGCATTTGTTTAGCTATACAAAAATGGGTTGGTTCTGCGATTTTGTCGTTTAATTAATTAACTATTTATCGTCTAAATCCCAAATAAACAACAATTGAGAGTTTCAATAAAAATGGTCACATATTTAATGCTTACAATGAATTGATATTGCATTACGAGAGTAAAAAAGGCTAAAAATAATATGACATTCAGTATATTGTTAACAATAATCGATATATTGAAAGCGTTTGGACCGGAAAATGATTGTCTAATTGTGTATTGTTTTAAAGCGGAACCGACGATAATATTGTTATAGTGGATGATATGCTATACTGACGGTTGTACTCAATGATAGAAAAATACTGTTGAGTGCAAACACACCGCATATCTCAATACCTATTGACAACTATTTGACCAAAAAAGCAAACGGAAGGAAACCTGTTTGAAGCGAAAGGTGCGATCGTTTACAATGAAATTCCGGCAAATTCTCTGTTCATATGTTTCCTATTTATACTGCACTAAAAAACTAAAAAAATTGCACTTTTATTGATTACATAAGCATTGATGGCATTCATAAGAATCATAACCAATAGACAGGAACTGCAATCATAAGGATGTGAGCCATTAGTGGTTGAGTTAATTCTCTATTTCATTAACAAAATTAAATCATTTCCTAAAATGTTGTGTAATTCAACTCAATATCAATATTTTCCCACACATTGGTTGAAAGCAAACGAAATATTTGGTAAAAATATAATAAAATTGATGTTTTAAACAAAATTTACATTATATAAATTTTTATGTAAATTAGTGTTAATGAAGGATAAAGATGTCGGGCCTATAGGCTATAGTAAATTTGTAATTTATTGTCAATAAAAGTTAATTTTCAAATACCTATGAAATCGATGGCTTCACTGAACCAAATGCTAATGTCTTCGCTTTTGGAGTCTTCAATGGGAATGGATTTATATACAAAACAGTCTTCGAAATGGTTGGGACAGGTGTGCGACACATTGAGAAGAGCAGTAATGCCAAGATTTTTAAGCATCGGTTTACAGGAGGCGTGATATTCGCTGCCGAGGTATAGGTATGAGAGTATTTCGACGGGTTCAGCTTGGTCATTGCCAAAAGACAGCGGTGCCCCACAATCCACGTTCAGATTGTTGTTCTTTGGTGTGCGTGGAGTGAGAAAGCCTTTGGGTGTCGACTTGAGTGGCCACGTATGGCTGTGTGCGCCAATTGGACTCCGACTAGAAATGTTACTCGAACTCGAAGTGCTCAATGGGTTCGGCACTGACGACCCTTTCGTACAAAAATATGGATACATTTGCCGGAAGTTTGCGAAACCGCCTGAAATCAAGTTTTCAATCAAACATTATTACATGTGATCCACATTTTGCAAACAAAAACATTGAAATATTAATCGGTCATCAAATTGTTATGAATGAACGTATTTTCACATATTTACTCGCATTTGCTATTATTCAACAACAACTCCCACACTGTCTCACTCACAACCTAATTAATGCTATTATTTGTTATACAGTAATACATAATATTTGCTATATTTTACAACACCTACTCCTTCGTGGGCTTCCATTCACACAAATCAGTCAAACACTTATAAAATCAATATTACATTTAATTATCAAATAAATATATAATTTTCTATATCTATAATACTGTAAATTTATATTCTTATGTTTTAATAAATAATATTTACAAAAGAATACTGTATTATAAAAAAATAAAATTTCAAAATAGCCTATAATTGCAAACAATGTGTTCTATAATAAAGAATAATTATACTGTAGTTTGAATTGAAATTAATTTTACTGATTTGTCCATAAAATGATAAGTCAAACTGAATTGTGTTTTTATTGTGCTTTCTACAGCACAAATATCTACAGGTATAACATATAATGTTTACATACAATAATTCTAAACTCAAAAAAAAATAATTTATTAATTTGATCACATTATTTGACAATATAAATCTTATAATTAAAATCTAAGTAAGGTTAATTGTCCAACAACCATAAATAAAAACAATGTTGACAATTTATGATTTATAGAACTAGAAGATTCCCATAAATTTTCAGTTATTAGTGTTAATCATAACATTCTCTTAAATTCTTATTTAACAATAAAATAGTAACATTATAATTATATTTATGAATTATCATTTAGGAAGATATTTGATCAAAACATACAGAGTTTTCAAAATGAGTGTCGTTTCTTACTACTCGTTAGACATTAATATTATCAATAATATCACATCAATACTCAATTCTATAAAAAGTATCAAATGAGGTCAATTGTAAACCAATTCTGTCATTACTTGTTCTATAGTGACTATATTTTATTATATGACTTTATTATATTCCTTACAATATCTAATCCATAGTTTATAGAATACACAGACTATAGTATAGTCTATGGATTAGATATTGTGAGGAATATAATAAAATATTTATATAAGAATATTGTAAAGTATATCTTTTACTGTATTTAGTACTTGGTTATAGAAATAATGTAATTTCACCAATACAATGTTCACTTGCATTTATAATGGATAAAATCGCTTCAAATGAATTCCAAAGATTAAATAAATAAAAATTCATCAAAAATATGAAATAATATTTTACATAACGTTTAAAAATATTCGTTAAAAATACTGTATTATAATTTATAAAACAACATTTGATCTCAAGTCTAGTGAAAAAGTTTTGAAAAAACCAAAAGTAAGGTAAGTATAAAAACATTTTTATGTTATAGTCTGATATACAGTAATGTATTTACTTTTTAACGATTTTATTTTAAAAATGAAAGAAAAAATGAGGAAATTTCACTAAAAGAAGATAATACAGTGAACTTTCCATATAGTGGTCGAGCAGTTGGTATACATTTTTGGACACTATATAGAATGTTCACTCTATAGAATGTGTGTCTAATAGTAGTGACAATAAGTGTATATACTGTTAATACTAAAATAATCATTTATTTAGATTGTTTAATGTTTTCGAGGTAATGATTTCATATTTGCTTATCAATTTAAATAAAACTTCATCATTTCAAATAATTGCAAGACAAAAAATAGTAGTCTTATACCATAAAACACTATAAAGAGCGTAAAAATAGTAAAATATAGCCAAAAATGGCACAATTTTGGCCACTATATAGAATTTACACTGTATAGAGAGTCACTATATGGAGCGGAAATAACATTACAAGTATACAGTGTCCGCCAAACTAAAATATTTTGCACACTATATGGAAAATACACTGTATAGAGCTTTACTATATGGAATGTTCACTGTAGTCTGAACGGGAAGTAAGGAAACGAGAAGTTAGGTGTTGTGACAAAACCTTTTTATTAAACACTGTTTTGTTGTCTAAACGATTGTCCAGAAAGGGAAAGCAAAATACATACAGTATTGTATACTTATAGTGAAAGTTATTGAAAAATAAGTGAATGAAATGGATATGAAATGAATAAATTGAAAAGACATCAAAAGTGGCGCTCAGTATAACCGGAAACGAATTGTCAAATGAGGCACACTTTCCATGAGCTTAATGTTCAGGCAATGCGTTATCGCAAAGAACGACAAATAGTAAGCGGCCGTCAAATCTCTCAAAACACGCTCTTATAGTATCTGTGAATGAGTGGGTGCTTACAATTGCGAGCCAATCGCTCCCATATCTTACACTCAACAATAGGTGCCAATTATGTCCCACTTCTCAAACTTCATGTCAATAAATATTCATATTCTTAATCATTAAATATTGCGCTTTTAGATTATGTAAAACATTTTCTCGTATTTTTAACTTTTGAAAAGTACCGAAAGCACAAACTTTGGACAACATTTGAACAGTCACTTTGATTGCCCGCTTTGTCACCCTTTAGTAAACTTGTTTATATACTGACTTAGATTTGAAAGTTGAACCAAAATTTATAATTTTCGATATAACACACAAAACTCGGGTCTAGTTTGACATCGAGTCAAAGTCTGTCATAAATATTGTCAAAACTATTAAATAAACTCATCCCTAGTTTTTCTACCAATGTTTTACTGAATTGAGGTTCAAATTAAATATAAATGTTGTAAATAAACACAATAATAGATAATGAATTGAATACTAAATAATTATCACATTTAAAGACTTTTACTGACAATTCATAATATTAATTGACTTATAGTTTATGATAAATGGCATCATTTCTCGCATATTCGTGAGTATTGATCACTGAATTCAGTATTTAACTATTAATTAAGTTCTGTTTACATATAATACCATATAATATATGAGTTATATATTAAGTTAACATTTGTTAACAATTGTTTTCGACAGACAATAATAAAATGATCAATAAATGAATGAATCATAAATGAATGTCGAATCAAAATTAACGGAATAGCAATTCATTGATAAAGTATTTAATAATGACATAAAAATAGTGAACCAATGTTTGACAAACCTTGCAAGAAGTGCAGACATTTGAGGCCAACCTCTTGTTGGAGACAAGTGGCGACATAAGAGCCGATGGAATCGGAGGCCAAATCTGTTTCTTCGTATAAGACGATCGGGTAATAGGAATCAGTGAGAAGTCTGTCTCTGATGTGTTGGTCAGGTATTATGGTTTTAAGCGGCAATCGGTTTCCAGTTCTTCGTCTGATTGTATGCCAAATGAAGTAAATATACGGCAATAATGTATTGGAGATGATTAAGACATACCTAATGATCGCCGGGCAGTGAATGCTAATTGATTTGACAATATGTGAGTCGTTATGTATGAGGAATGGTCTGCAGTCAAGAATGAGAACATTGGATCCGTTGGCATCACTGGTGAGAACGAGGTCTAGAAGTTGTCTGAGATGTTCACAAGTGATGGGTATTAAGCCGGAAGTGATGGACACAATCGTATCGTTTGTCGAACCAATCATTTTGTCAATTCTTGTGGTAAAAGATTGATTTCTCGATCGCTTTAAACACTTGGAAGGCTTTAAAGACTTGGATTGCTTTGAAGCCGGCATTAAATCAGATGATAATGAATGGTGTGAATGGACTCGATGTGAGACAATTGGTGGTGAGTTGGGATGTGTTCACTATAAGGCCGACCGCTATCTCCCAGTGCTATCATTAGAGTGACAATTGATTCACAATTCACACCACATATGCGTATGTATTGAATGTATTCAATGTATTCATTGTATTCATTCACAAATAGTAGTCATGTTTTCATTACACTATATATCGGTTGTAAGACTCAACACAACTCACTCTCAACCGGAGCTCAAATATTATGAATGAATGAAAAAGCAATCAATGAAACCAATGCTAACTTCGCGCACACTCTCTCACATCCACTACACATATACATCGCTTACGCCATCAAATAGTGCCCACAATTATCTTCAATTTAATGACCATTAATTGATCCCAATTTTACTTATCTATTAATTAATGATGAAAATAATTAGATGTGATTTAATGGCAAAACTTAAATTGTCAATCAATGTCATTATGAGAGTTGTTTCAAATGTAGGTCTTTTAATACGAGTTTAGAGCATGTGTTGGAGTGAAACAAGTTTTGAGACAAGTTTTCAAGTTATTTATCAATCGATATAACGATCGACACAACCATTCAAACCATTCATACCATTCAAACCATTGCTTACGAATTCAATACAAACAACTGTTTTATCAAATATTTTTTCCTCTCTTCATCTCTTAGTTTGACAAACAATCACATAATTTATTTATATAATCATTAAAACGTCAATAATCTCTTTTAAACACCATTTCAAAGATTATCATATCATTTAACCATTTCCTCTCAAATGCTATCATATTTATTACAATTCAAGTTCTAATCAATTGCTAACATATTGTAAGCATTGCTTTTATTTTAATACACCAATCAATACACATATTTTACATTCATATTAAGTAACATATTTTGATTTCATAATGAGTAAGTAAGAAAATGAGAGATTGTTGTCAACTGTTTTGACTGTTTTGACAATATTTTCAGTAATTGATAAATGAGTTAAATAAGTGATGAAATGATGATCATCTCAGATGAATATCAAATAATTTATACAGAATAGGATTCAATTGTAAATACGGTTGTATATTATGATTGTTATGATATTATTATCATTACTGATGTCTACGCAAAATAATAGACAGATATTAGACTGAATATCAGTGACAACTTATCATTATTGTTATCAATAGTGTTTTCACTCAATATCGTATAGTTTTATGCACTAATAATTGAAATATTTTATGACACTATAGATAAGAAATTCATAATTATTTCCTAATTAATAGGTATTTATATAGTTTAGTGAAATATCTGATATTAAACGATAGGTTTGTGTATGAGTTAAATGGAGTTATGATTTAAGTTGTGAACAAACAACAGGTTGTGTTAATATTATAGTAGAGTATATAAAATGTTATGAAATGTTTGTAAGGAGTTATGAAGTAATGAATTGGTGAACGCCTACACCACTACTCGTTTCTTTAATTCATAAAAATTTCACAAAACTTGTGTGACGTAAAGCAATACAAACATTGCATGAAATCATATCCGCTATACTTTTCTTTTCTAATAAAACAAGTTGTAAATCAAATGGCAATTAAATGACACAAAAAATTCAGTCTTCAATGAAGACTCCATACTTTAGGCATACCTATGAAATAACTCAAAGGGCGTTTGCATAGCGAATAGTTTTAACCAAGGGCAATCAATTAAAAAATCATTTATTCTATATTATAACTCTTGTTAAACATATTAACAGCTGACCGGTTGTTTCCCAAACTCTAAAACCATTCTTAAAGCCACACCAATAATAGGCAACAGTACTGTAGTATTAAATTAACCAAAATTGGGCTATAATTAAAGTAAATGTGAGGTAAAACAAGAATGTGAAATACAAAATATGAAATCATCCTATTTGGTTCTATCAGCAAAAATCGTATAATTAATTTGTATGAATCCTCACAATAAAGAGAATAATAATATTATCAATTATATTATATTATCAATTGATATTGTTTTGGGCATTAAATTAAGTATAAATATTTTTAATTAGAGAGCGAATAAAAACACTTTTATATAAATTTTATTATGTATTATAATCTAAATTATACTAATGATATTCCAGATAAATTCATATCGTATCGTTAATTAAATTGAAAAAGAACAGTATATTGTATTGTGTTCAATCTCTAAATTTATAGAGTATGAACCTGGTTAGTGTTGGTAGATGTAGATTGCTTATGTGTGTCTTATACCCTGTCTTGTTTTAGTTTATTAAATTACGTTTAAGAATCATCGAATAAATATAAGTCCAACAACCCCTCCCCCATCTCAAAGTTGGTTACCAATGTTCATTAATAAACATAGAATGGATATTGAAACAAGGATCATACAGCGATGCTATACGTTAACCACAATTCGGGTATTACTCAAAGAATAGATTAGCACTATCTACAGATTTCATATTAGTCCAATCGCATTGCCCATAGACTTAGCATTACCATAGACTTATTTCTGCCCATAGGATTAGCATTAGTTCCATAGACTTAAAATTAGTCCCATAGGATTAACATTACCCATAGGATAACATTAGCTCCATGTTAGAGTATAGCCATAGACTTAAGCTAGAATCCCATGTTAAATCCTATAGGGTGGGTAAGGGAGCCGAACGATTTTATAAACCACATTATTCATAGCTGATTTGTGGTTAAAAATATGAATATAAACCAAACTGTACTAGAAAATAAACCATCTTCAAATATTATGAATAAATCATAACTATTTAAATGTGGATTATTTAGTTTAATATATTATTGGTAATAATAATAATAATTTAATAATAAATTATTTAATACAATGTATTTTAAAACTTGATCTATTAATGAATTGTTAAAGTGCTTCACTGCATGACATTAGTGTGCATTCATTGCAATATTGCAGTGAAAGTGAATTCGAGGGCTAATAATATTGTGTAACAAATAGAGTGTATATTTGATTGACAACTCAATACAAACATTGCATGAAATCATATCCGCTATACTTTTCTTTTCTAATAAAACAAGTTGTAAATCAAATGGCAATTAAATGACACAAAAAATTCAGTCTTCAATGAAGACTCCATACTTTAGGCAAATACCTATGAAATAACTAAAGGGCGTTTGCATAACCAATAGTTTTAACCAAGGGCAATCAATTAAAAATTCATTTATGCTATATTGTAACTCTTGTTAAACATATTAACAGATGACCGGTTGATTCCCAAACTCTAAAAACATCCTTAAAGCCACACCAATAGTAGGCAACAGTACTGTAGTATTAAATGAACCAAAATTGGGCTCAATTTATAATTAAAGTAAATATGAGGTAAAACAAGAATGTGAAATATTATACAAAATATAAAATCAACATATTTGGTCCTATCAAGTAAAATCGTATAACTAATTTGTATGAATCCTCACAATAAAGAGAATATTATCAATTGATATTATTTTGGGCATTAAATTAAGTATATTTTTAATTAGAGAACAAAAAACAACATTTTTATATGAATTTTATTATGTATTATAGACTATAATTTATAGACTCTATAATCTGTATTATACTAATGATATTTCTGATAAATTCACATCGTATATGATATTGTTTAATTAAATTGAAAAAGAACATTTATGTTTCAAGTATACTGCATTTTATAGAGTATGACCCTGTTAGTGTTGGTAGATGTAGATTGCTTGTGTGTCTTATACCCTGTGTTGTGTGAGTTTATTAAATTAAGATTAAGATTAAGAATGATCGAATAAAATTTATTAAATATATAAAACTTGAATTATTAATGAATTGTTAAAGTGCTTCACTGCATGACATTAGTGTGCATTCATTGCAATATTGCAGTGAAAGTGAATTCGAGGGCTAATAATATTGTGTAACAAATAGAGTGTATATTTGATTGACAACTCTATTGACAACACGTGTACTGTTTGTAGTGTTTGTTGTGTTCAGTAAATCAACACTAAATCTATGACAATGTCTTTTGATGTCCGCCGGTATTGAAGCCATTGTCTGTCCATTCATTCATATCTCACTCTTTATTCGTCCACAGCTTTGATGTCTACCGAAAAGTTCCCAAAGACTTGACTCAACCCACTCTTACCGGAGCTGTCATTTCGATTTGTTGTCTCCTTTTGATTGCATTTCTCTTTATATCGGAATTGTTTGACTTCATGTCAACCCATATGTCTGTCCATTGAGTTGAATGACATGAATGCTATAATAATTGTCTAATTGATAGATCGAGTGAACTGTTTGTGGACAACAGCGGCGGACCGAGTGATAAGATAGGCGTCCGTTTGAATGTATCGCTTCCACGGCTGTCCTGCGATGGTATGTATGCCTGTATGACATCCACCCTCTCGTCACCACAACTAATGTATAGCTCGTAGTGATTGGTCTCGACATACAGGACGAGAACGGCAGACATGAAGTGGGATTTGTTGACAACACCGAGAAGATTGTGATGAATGATGGCATGGGATGTCGTTTTGAGGGTGTATTCAAAATCAACAAGGTGCCTGGCAATTTCCATGTGTCCACACATTCGGCCAAAACACAACCCGAAAACATCGATATGACTCATGTTATACATGAGGTCTCTTTCGGCGATTCAATGGATTCCTTCGACATTAAAGCCGACTTCAATCCACTGAAAAATGTGGACAAAAGTGGTGCTCAGTGTATGTCATCGTTATGTCTATCATAACTATTGTTAAATTCAAAACCTAATGATAATAACATAACCATTAATATGATAGCTATTGAATCACATGAGTATCACATGAAAATCGTGCCGACAATCTATGAAGACTTAAGCGGCAATTATGCCAATAGTTTTCAATACACTTACGCTTACAAAAGTCATATAGCGTTCACACATCACGGCATTGCAATGCCTGCCATTTGGTTTCGGTATTTATCAATATTCACGTCCAATAATTAATATGACATTACATTTATAGAAATGGTATTTATGTTTAGATATGATTTGACGCCAATTACAGTGAAATACACGAAAAAACGGAAACCATTTTACAGCTTCTTAACAATGATCTGCGCTATAATCGGCGGTACGTTTAGTGTGGCCGGCATTATAGACTCCATGGTCTTTACGGCGTCCAATATATTCAAGAAACTAGAGTTAGGAAAACTCAGTTAACTGTAAACATTCATTGAAACATGAAATTAATTTATTTATTCTCATATCTCAACAATTACTCAAATTCTTACCACTATTTATAAGTATTTATTTAATAAATGACAAAAAAGTATAATTTTGTTAATTAATGCAATTTTTAATTCGAAAATCCAATGATTACATCGAAATATGATTTAAGAATAAATTACAGTAAAAGTCAAATCCAAAAAAACTCCGTTCAGTACAACAAATATCGACATTTGTCTTAAAAAATTTCAGAAAAACCGATGAATTTATAATAACATGAGATATAGAAACAAACTATAATATAATAAAAAGCAATCAATTCTATAGTCAAATGATTATACAATTCTATATAAACGTACAAAAGCTATAATAAAATTATTAAAAACAAAAAATTAAATAAAGACTAATATTAAAACATATATAAAAAAACATGAGATTAATTCTCAGCATTTATTACAATAATAATAATCATAAAACAAGAGTTCTTCTAAAATTGGATAAAAATTACAATAAGTTTTAAATAGTTTTAGAGGCACTCAAACAAAAAGGTCTAAAAATTGTTTAATACTGAGAACTTCTCAAAAAACAATTCAAAAAAGGGGGCAAAAAACTGATTAAAAACATCTCGACTATTTTGACTAATAATAATCAATTATATAAATGACTCAATAAATGACTAAAAAACTGTATAAATAAAGTGACACTTCTTTCAAAAACGTGTGTCTCATTAATAATAGATTATAAATGGTTTGAAATATTTATACCGAAAGTGTTTTTTATATGTGTAGCGAAAAATGACACAACTATTGCACAGCAATTGACTTTATAATTATAATAATAGTAATAATGATATTTTTTTGTTATATTTTTGTTTTGTTAGGTTAATAGTAATTGTGAACAGTTTTGATAGTGTGTTCAGTAATTGAATTTAAGATTCAACACAAATGTCAAACTCTTTATAATTATATAAACCAAATGTTTGTCTCGATATATGAATCAAGTATTGATTTCATCACTTCTTGAATAGAAATACAAACAATTAATAAAACGAATGCATAAAAAGTGCAATCATTTGAGACATGAGTACAAAAAAATGTTAAAACCAATGAAATGTTAGAATAGAAAGGATTGATACAATTGTATTAATTGCGAAATTAAGGGATTCTCACTCGACATTCATTTGTGACAATACACTCTATACTCTATACTGTACTGTATATTAATTTACACGTTTTGTATGGTTTAATAAAAATTGTTTTACAATTAATTGATAGCACCGTAAGAAAAGAAGAAGAAGTGATGAAAAAGTCGATTATAAAAACTCATTAATAAATACACAAAAGAGTCTATAAAATTAAAATTGTTGTGATTTGTTATATATTTTTTGAGGGATTGATTCATTTGTTTGGTATTATTATTAGAAAAGAAGTGATAAATTGATCGAAGAATTAATTATTTATATGAATACATAAAAGACTGTTCAAAAAACGCCAGTTTTCATAGTTATCCCAAAAGAGAGCAATATTTATATTATACTCATAAACATTAAAAATCTGTAAATTTAACGATAATTACAAAAGTTGTTGTATTTTCTAATCATTGTTTTGCTAAAAAGGGAAATATAAACTCTGACAACGTATTTAAGCGCTAAAAATGGTACTAAAATATACTTTACGATTAGGTGAAACCATCTAGATCTAAAATTTAGGCCAACGGAAATATTTAGTGGGTATAATTGCCATAATTATGTTAAGAATTTGATTTTATAGTTTTAACTTTTGCGCCAGTATTGTGAGGATATTTCATTCATATCTATAATCCATTCACTTTACTCATAATCAATAGACAAAAATATTATATTCATATATCAATACTCAAAAACATTGTTCATAATTAGGTTTACTATCATTTTTATTCAGATTTGTTATAATTTCACCTTATCCATTTAACTCATACACAAACCTATCGTTTAATATCAGATATTTCACTAAACTATATAAATACCTATTAATTAGGAAATAATTATGAATTTCTTATCTATAGTGTCATAAAATATTTCAATTATTAGCGCATAAAACTATACGATATTGAGTGAAAACACTATTGATAACAATAATGATAAGTTGTCACTCATATTCAGTCTAATATCTGTCTATTATTCTGTGTAGACATCAGTAATGATAATGACATCATAACAATCATAATATACAACCGTATTTACAATTGAATCCTATTCTGTATAAATTATTTGATATTCATCTGAGATGATCATCATTTCATCACTTATTTAACTCATTTATCAATTCCTGCAAAATATAGTCAAAACAGTTGACAACAATCTCTCATTTTCTTACTTACTTATTATAAAATCAAAATATGTTACTTAATATGAATGTAAAATACTGTATGTGTATTGATTGGTGTATTGCTGTTATATTAAAATGAAAGCAATGCTTACAATATGTTAGCAATTGATTAGAACTTGAATTGTAATAAATATGATAGCATTTGAGAGGAAATGGTTAAATGATATGATAATCTTTGAAATGGTGTTTAAAAGAGATTATTGAC